CTTTTTTTAATTTGCATACAAGATTGGCAGTGCAGGCTGAGCTTACATTCACCTGTTTCCCACTTACTGCCACTATGCCCAGCCATTCATTCAATGATCACTTGAGTCACAGACCACATCTATCACAGTGCAGTACAGCTAATATTTTCTAAGTTTATTCTGATGCTTCTAAGGTTTTTATCAAATTTCCGTTAAGATTTATAAAAATAAAAAGAAAAAAGAAAAAGACCTTGAGATTTTCACTAAAGTACAAAATAGCATTCAAAAAACCCACATGAATATTCATAATTTGAACACAGAATTGTTCAAATGCTCATTTTGTCTGTAATTTAGAGTTTTCCAGAAAGCTGAAACAAATTGTAATCAGTGTGTGTTTTGAGAGGAATAAATGTCTGAAAAAACTACCACCAAAAATTCAGCCTGAGGCAGATACATTTTGGCAGGAGCTGTCCCAGACGATAACAAATGCTTTGCCATCCTCCACCCACACAACCTGATTAGCATGAATCCCCATTTTTCCATTAGCCCACATACTAAGGGTATTTTCCAGCTGCCTCTTGAAAGTAGCCGCATCTTTGTTTTTCACTTTGTAGCTGACATCATGTCCAGAGTTTTTTCAACCCATCTCAACATCTTAGGTTATCACTGCTGAGAATCAGAGCAGATGGAAAGAAAAATATTGGCCCTTCCTTTGCCATCAGCAGTATTTGTTGGTAGTTAACTTGGGGAAGATTTTTAATAAAATATTGATGGACACCAGCAGAGGGTGCATTGCTGCCACTGAAATGACCACTCTTATACTGTAAGTAACCATAAGTAACCATAGTGCAGCAAAGCTTTGGACAAATCCTGCACATTCCAAGGCTGTGGAGCTGCCTACACAAAGGTGCACAATCGGAAGCAGGATTAAAAATCGAAGTCAATGAAACCAGTTCCTTTAAAATTAAGGAAAAAGCAAACAACTAAGGAGAAGTAATGTGTAAATTCTGCTGTGCACTCAAGGCATTTTGCAGCTTTTCTTGAAATATCTGTCATAAAATTACTTCTTTGATCTGCTGTAAGCAGCCACTCCCAGAAGGGGTGAGAGACACCTCGTTTCCTTCCTTCCTTCCTTTTTTTATCCTGACCTACCAGTCTGGAATGCAGTTCACCTCTGAGCATTTTCAGATTTATCATTTTCAGAGAGGTTTGCATGTCCCAACACACAACCAGGCTTAGTTTACTGCTCACAAAGACTGCACATGACAGCCAAAGAGAGGAGCCACATTCAGCGTCTGGCCCTGCGGCACATCACCCATGTATATATGCCCTTGTCTGCCAAAGGGGCACGACAGTGTTACAACAACAAACACTCATCTTGCCCTCAACATAGGCAGGACCTGAAACTGTAAAGTTAAGAGAGCAGTGCCCCATGGTTGAGTCACGGTTTAGGCAAATCTGTGATTCTACTGCAGCCCTACATGCCTCCAGCACATCCCTTTACAGCAGGAATCACAATGTACCTTCTTCCCCAAATGCATCCCACCTGGTGACTCTGCTGAGAGCTAGCCACTTTTTGCAGGGTTAGTTTCCAGACAGGTAACAGTTCTTCAGCTTCCTTGTCTGAATTTCTACATAGCAGCACCACCCTAAATGCTAGCATACAGGAAAGAGGGACAAAATACTGTGTCCAAAAGAGGTCAAGTCTTTCTAGCTCTGCACAAAATCATCCTTTTAGGCTCATTGTGCTGTCATTGGATTCAGAGTGAGCACTCAAAGAGAGATTTTAAATTCTGAACTGCCCTTCAAAAGTGTCCCTATAACCCCATGTACCACAGGCCTGTGGGTGCTTAAGCTGGAGTCACAACTAAATTCCAAAACATAGTGGGCATTAATCAAGACCATAATGTTCCCTACCAAATGGCAAGGGAGTTGAGCACAGCATAAATACACACTTAGAACTGCAGCACAATAAAAATAATGATGATGATAATAGTAATAAGCCCCTAGCATAACCAGCATGGTTGTGTGAGTTAGCTGAAGATGGCCGGAGGGAGGAGATGCTGTGCATTCTTGAGTGCACTGCAAGGAAATTTCAGTCCCACTGATTTCAGTGGGGCTTCAGTGAGACCATGTCTCTGCTGTGGAAAGGAACAGCTTAACACAGCATTGTGGGGTCCCTTGCTTTTTGTCTCTGAGCAACTCCTGGCAAAACCACTGGTTACTAAGTGAAAACATACTTTTTCCAGCCACCAGGACTGTAAGCCATACCTGGATTAGGCTTTTTTTTCCTGTCACTTTTTGTTGTTTCTGCCATTCTGATAGATTTTCAAATCTAGCTCCTTTACTAGGTGCTGACTTTACAAACCCTAGTTTGGCTACTGAAGCAGGGGGTCTGGCCTTGGGGCAGATTATTCCCTCTCAGTGGGATGGCTCTGCTTACAGCTTGACTCCAGCTAATAGGCGGCACTCAGTGTCAGCCCAGCAGCTGCCATGCAGGAGGTCTGTCCCTTCGGGCAGCTGCTGCTCATCTGCCAGCAGCTGGCAGCGGAAGTGACATCTGTTTTCAGTCCCAGCTGTGAGCAGCACGGAGGTGCCAAAGCCCAAACGCCTCAGTTCTCGATCCAGGAGCGAGGAAGGGTTTCTGATGCCAGACCACGGCCTGGTTTGCAAGAGAAGGGAGGGGAGGATCGTCTCTTTCTACGATGGTGGGCTAGGAGGAATGGAAAAAGAATGACAAATATGGAGAGAAAGAATAAGCAACAGAAGTAGGGGAAAGGATGGGGAACGAGCACAGGAGAAAACAGGAACAGCTGAAATGAAAACGAAATACAAAATTTGAAGCGACCAGTCTGAGGCACAAAATCAAAAAGAAGGAGGCAGGTAATGAAAGAGATGCGGAAGTAACACAAACCGCTTACAAAAGGAGACAGCTATCTAAAATGGCTGCTGAAGAGAGAAATGCCTTATTGAGCAGCCATCTGAAGTGCTACTGAACATGGAAAGCATTCCTGCTTGCAGCCCTTAGCCTATGGTGCCATTCTGAACTGCCCTGGTCTCCCCTGCAGGTTTTCCCATCTGGTGGAACACTGGTATATTCTCTCTTGCCTCCTTGCTTCTCTACATTATTTAAATTCACATCACTTTTTTCTTGTCCAAGTCTCTTGCTCTCTCATTTATCTTTGTAACTGTGTTACAATTCAGTGTTCTGGCATTTTCACTGAATTATAATTTTAGTTTCTGAGACAGGAATAGGTGCAGGATGAAGGACAAGAGCCATTTCAATCTAAATATTGAATGCATAATTAAATTAACCTTGGGATAAATATATTAAGAAATGCTACTATGCTCCCCAGGTTGGTGTATGCAAGAGAAGTGACTTTATTCTGTCACAAAAAGTATTTTCACAGTTGGGACTGTTTCCTCAGTACAGGTGCTGAAATTGTGTTTTTTAGATCGCTAAACTAATTGAATATTCCTGGAAGAAATAATGAAGGAAAATGTATATTTAACAAGTGCTTTACAGACCTGTCAATCAAAATCAACCTACACTGGGAAAAAATGCAGTGTCAGTGACTGCTTCTTTTCCTTGGTGCTTGCCAGAAGCTGAAGAAAAACCGAATTCTGGTAAACAACTGGGCTGGGAAATGGGCTGAGGGAGACAGATGTCATAAAAAATTACCAGTCTCAAGTTGAAAGTGCAGGGCTGGGGCACAAAGATCTGAACCCATTTTCACATTTTGCCTTTGGTATATCATTGTAGGCATCCAGAACAGGGCATTAGTCATTGAACTGTGTGCCTTTACAAATTGTTCAAAATCAGGTGCAAAACTGGACTGAATTGGGCAGGAATAATCTTGCCCCAAACTCCAGCCTACAGGAACACTGCTAACATAAGCCTTTCCCTGAACCCCCAAACCTTCCTCAACAGTAGTGAAGGGATTGTCTTCCACAGTGGTGGGTGCTTGATAAAATAAACTAGAATTTTTCAGATTCAACTTACAGATTAAGAAATGAAAAAATGAAAAAACCAAAACCTTTTCATGTCTCAAAGTGAATGTGTTCTTCAGAAACAAAAGCCAAACAAAAAGCACTGAGAAACAACAAGTGTCCCAGGCAGGGAGAACAAAGCAACCCAAGTACAACCCTTCTCTGGTGGAATGACCTAGAGACAAGAAAAGTTACTGTATCTTCAGAAATTGCCAAGCATTAATTGGAAACTTTATGTATTTGGAAGCTTCTCATTGGATGGCATCTAGAACAGCACTGTGGAGATGATGAGACTTTGGTGTCACACAGAAATACAAATTTGAATACACCAAAGGCTCCATGGCATCCAGAAAATCTTTGTTCTGCAGCCTACATTAGTTATGAAGATAAACTCAACCAAAGTTGACTCTATTATGCCACTGATTACAATAAGTAACATCTCACCTTCTTTCTCTGCTTTCTGGTATTGTTTTGGGGTGTTGAGGCTTTTTGTTTATAATGCCACCATCTTATATCCTTTTCATTTCCTTCTTCTTCGTCAGAGGACCATCAGGTAATTTTTTTTTTTAAGCTAAGTTGTCTGAAAAGCTAAAGAATAAAAAGACTAAATAGAAAATCTTCTACCTAACTGACTGACGACAAAGTAATACAGATTTCAGATTTTGCATGAAGTGGGTAAATTTCAGTGTACAAATCTAATTCACTCAACTTTGCAGTTTTGAAAAGCATTTCTAGGGCCATATTCTGCATTCCCTTTTCTGATGAACACTACACAAGGAATACTAATTAGAGTGCTTGAGGAGTAAGGTAAGCAAGGCTGGCAGAGTCTGAGCTTCTATTTACTTTCTGTTATCTCTGTCCAAATGTTCAAAGCAATATGGGTGGTGACTGATTCACTAGTTAAATTCAAAACAGCATGTGTGTACAAAAGCTGCCAAGTTTCTCATGTATACTGCTATTTGTGAGAAGCTATGCACAGACAAAAAACAATCAGCCAGTTTCTTAATTTCATTTTATATCTTTATTCCCATTGTAAGTACTAACAATCACCCAAAAAACCATTTAAATTTGGTTTGGATACACAATAGCATTAATCACAGTCCAGTTTCTTTTTGGTTTTTTTTACTGCAGTTTTAGTATTTTGTGATCTGTTTTAGTAGCTCTGTTGTTTGTGTATTTGCTTCCAGCAAAATGGACTTTTCAGTGTTTGTAGATTATTTGAAAAGATTGCTAAAGATTAAAAACCCATAATGCAATGATTAACAGTACATTAATAAAACTTATTATCTTCCATTTAGGATTAGTACTAAGTATATTGGTTGACCCAAAACTTACTTTTTCTTGTGCATTGTCTGTTCACTTTTCAAAATAAATCCATAAATAACTATAATTTTTTTTTTTTTATTATAGCAGTTCTTGTCGTATCATTTTTAATTTGATTGAAATCCTCTTAGGAGAAGGCTGTAAGTAAAACAACCCTAAAAAATAAAAGCACTGTTTATACAAATGATGCTGCACACAAACTAATGTTAATGTGGTATCACAATATATAAATTAGAGTGGATAGAAAGCAGGAAGGATTTTCTAAATTCACCTTATTATTTGGGGAAAACATCACAGATTGCATTTTAGTCTTCAAGCAAACAAGAATAACAAAATATTGTCAAAGAGACATCTTTCATCATGTCTTTTAAAAGCCTGTGGGACAAATTCCTTCATCAATTTTATTAATGTAAAAGCATATTCAGAAAACTTATTTGTGAGAGCTGTCCTGTTAAATTATGAATACCAGTAATAAATTCTTTAGTTCTTCATTTATTTGTGTGCTCTGCATATGAACAGACATGAATATATGTATGAATAAAATATGCCTATTGTATAGCCATGCACAGAGCTAATGTGAATACTTATGTTGTACAATGTCAGAAAAGGACAAATTATTAATCAAAGTAGAGATGAAAGAAGCAAAGAAGAAAGCAGATGATGCACAAGAACTTTGTTAGCTATGTTTGCATGACTTGGATGTGGAAAAAAATGTCTGCTTTGGATAGAGAACCATCAGCTAACAACTCTTTATTTTATTGTGCAATGCAGGAAGTTTGGGACCAAGATCAGCTTCTAAAAGGGATTTAAACCAGTAATAATAAATAGTCACGTGAAGGGAAAGAGGAAAGGGACCAAGCAGGGAGTTTGTTATCCTAAGTTTTGTCTGAGCACCAGAGGGAGTGGAACATGGTGGGAGTAAGGGAAGGGATGCTGTTTTTAGAGGGAAATTTGCTGAACTGACAGTGACAGACTGAATCAGGGACTCACTGGACACTTCTGGTGGGGATACTTCTCCAAGACCTCATTCCAGCCATATCAAGTATGTAAGACACTAACCTAGTCCCTTCACAAATGGCAGGAGAGATAAAATTCCTGGGTCTGATGCATAGGGAAAGACATGTTTTCAGGGACACTGCTTGTATTGCTCTTAGTGGTTGTGATACCTGGAGATACTCCACATAATAATCATTCACCATTTCATCTTCCTGTCCCAACGGTCCACCCCCTCTTGACCGTCAATGCAGCATATCTTTGAATTCATAATGTTTGCTCTCCTTACTGCTATTTACTACATACATCTGCAAGAGATGAGAATTGTATTTTTATACATGAATTAACAGACTCTTCCTATTTCAGTGGAGCTACAGGAGCTCTGAATGATGGCACATGGGCACTGGAAGAAGTGTAGCACCAAGGAGGCTACAACCAGAGCATACTGCATCTGGAAAACTGGGGGTTAGCACCTTGTTGCACCCATGTGTATCATTTCTTTGATTGGAGGTTACCTTCATCCCATAGAGAATGGGTACCTGACATTTCCAACACTTCCTGCAATACGCGTTTCTCTTCATGTCAGGAAAGCTATGCTCTGTAAGGAAGTCTACATCCACTAATAGGTATTACAGCAGCAATTTTTAAATAATTTCACATAAAGTAGATGAGCTGTGCTTTAGGATTAATTTATCTGAAATAAAACATAAGTCATGTAGTCACAGAGTACTACACACAGCCATGGTTAAAGACAATTCTGCATGAATGCTTTTGGTGTCCTTTGTGCACCTTTTTAAATGATCAGTACCTTAAAAACACATTTCAGTATCATTTCTCACAGTATATACCCAGTGTATCTCAGAATTATTTTTATTTCCTTTTACTTCACACATCATATTAGACTTGTATTTTAAATATCAAAAATATGCTGTTAAAATATCTTAATAAATGGCATAAATCCAGAGTTTTAAACAAAGAATAAAATGGCTTAAGACCTTTGGTGAACAGATGATGAAAAACTAACATTTCCAAAAGCTACATATGATTTATGGTCTTATGCTACCAACAGCTGGCCAATCAGCTCCGGGTTTCTGTCCTTTATTAACGCCATGATAAGAGCAGCAGCAGAATTTACTGTCTCCTGAAGCAGCAAAGGGTCCTGGAACAAAAAGAAAAGGAAAAAAAGAGGGAGTAGAGTAAACAACATATTTATAAAGGTGGAAAAAAGTAAATATTTAAAATAAATTTTCTGTTATGGAAAATTTCCATATGATTGCTGAAGAAACAAAGCTATTTATTAGAAGAACTTCTAAAACTTTTATTTTAAGAAAGTGTAATTTCATAGTAATAACCATTTTCTCCAACCTCCTTGATGCAAAACTACTAGAATTCTATCCACTCAGAGACCACCAAAAAACTTGATTCTGTCACTGGCTCCTAACTGAATTTTAAAATCGAAAAGGCAGTAAAAATTTTTGGGGTTGAAAACATGGAACAAAATGCAGGATTTAATTGAGTAGCAGAGTTAAAGACTTGCAACTTTAAGCACCTACTGAATCCCATCTGTAGTCTACCAACTACTTAAATTCACAAAGGCATTTAAGCACTAAGATTTCAATGGTTTAGGCTGACTTTTGTATCAAATAACTTCAAAAAGTAGTCTGGTTTTAGTAGGCAAGTATAGAAACCAGCACAGGAAACAGCAATAAAATGAGATGTTGATTCTGTGCTTCTAATTGAGCACACGAGCTCACATTTGAAAGATTCTTTTGTCTAATTACCAAGTTTTCAAAATTGTATGAACTACAAAAGGTTGGCCTCTTGCTACCAGTAAGATTTCCATTTGCGCACTGGGAAAATAGCAAAAGGTGTAGTCAGGCACAGAGATATCCCTGGAGCTAGAAATAGGAGAGAACAATTTCTGAGAAGCAACAGAGAAAAAGAAAGGTCTACAAAACTCTAGAGTAGGGAAAATCTACAAAGAGAAATCAAGAGCTGTTCTCCATAGCCATGATGGATAAAACAATAGGTTTTATCTATCCATTGATTCCATTTATTCCATGATGGAAGCAATGGGTAAGGACTAGTATACAATGGAAGAGATTACAGAACAGATCAAGGAAACTCATTGTGAGGGTCCTATAACATGTGACTCACATCCATGTAAAATGTGATACAGAAAGAGCTTCCTGCCTGGGGTAGGATGATGGAGTAGTTTGATTCCACATCTTTTTGCCTCTTTTTCTAAGATTCTGAACGAAGGAAGAATTTGTAGAGAACACTTAAGAAATTTGGACTAATGGACAAAGAAGAAACCATTATTTATACAATAACAGAAGAACCACAATTTATACAAAAACAGAATATCAAAACTTGCTCTTTAATAAATAACGCAAATGCTGAAGGGGCCTGCCAACTCAAGCAGCACAGAGGGGAGCTGGAGACTACAAAGTTTCAGTTGAAGGACAAACTGAGAGGGAAAAGGTGAAAAGGTGTCCCTGGAATATTCTCAGTGTGGAAACAGGTCCAGAGGAGAGTCACAAAAATTGATGACAGGGCTGAAGCACTTGTCCTATGAAGAAAGGCTAAAAGGGTTGGAGTTGTTCTGCTTGGAGAAGTGAAGGCACTGGAGGGACCTTATTGCAGCCTTTCAGCACTTAAAAAGGGCCTACAAAAAGATGGGGTCTGACCTTTTAGTATGGTCTGTAGTGACAGAACAAGGGGTATGGTTTAAACTAAAATAGAGTCAGCTCAGACTAGATACAGAGAAGAAAGTTTTTATAGTAGGCAGGTAAAACAATAGAACAGGTTGCCCAGAGAGGTGGTGGATGCCCCATCCCTTGAAACATTCAAGGTCAGGTTGCACAGGGCTCTGAGCAACCTGACCTAGTTGAAGATGTTCCTGTTTACTGCAGGGGGGTTGGAGTAGGCAAATAACCTTTAAAGGACCTTCCAAACAAAACTATTCTATGATTCTATGATAATGCTCTTATTAACTTTGTTACTTATGTAAATGAAATGAAACATACCGGAGAGGTAACTGGATCAAATTAGAAATATCTAGTGTATAATTGATCAATTATTCTGGAAAAAATGTTTTTTGTATTTGCCTAGAATTTTGTCCTAACTATCATCAAATAAATAAATTACAATTTGTAACCTTGCAAAAGATTACACTCCTCACAAATTCATGTTATGTATGCCAGTATGCAGTAAAATTATTTGTTCAAGTTCTAAAAACCTGTGGTAGAATAAAAATGTTCATGATGTGTGCCTTGCTGCTCACTGAGTAACACCTCCTCAGTTAAGCAAGTAGTGTGGAAGTCTACTGAGGTCCTGCTCCTTCAGAACCTTTTGTCATGGATGAAGACAAACTCAGAATTCACTGCTCTGGTTCAGCAGGGTGTTAGCTTCCTCATTTCCCATGGGTATTAACTGCTGGATAAAGTACAAGGAGAGCGGAAGTCATGCACACACCCACTCAGATGGCAAACACTGCAGTTGCTTTCAAAATCGAGCAACAGTTCTTGCTATTCAGCAATGCCAAATCTCCTTCTGCCCTTCATCACTTTTTGTTCAGTTTATCTTAAGAAGCACTTCACAATTACAGACACTGTCTTCCAAATGGGCTTCCATCCATATCTGAAGTTGGCTGGAGGTGTATAGTATTTTTTTTTTCCATTTCACAGAAAGAAATAAAATACACCTGGCCAGGAATGCTCTTAATGTTTCTCCCAATAAATCTTTCCACATCCTCTGTTGGTTACTGGATTCAGTACACATTCCTTTGCAGTAATAAATTATTCAAGTTTCTGAACATAAAAGGAAGCAAGAGAAAGAAATTTAACTTTCACAGGAGAGATTGAAAGTGACACCATGAGATTCCTTTAGACTGAAAAAAGTCTTTTCTAAAGCAAAATCTAAGGCTTTAGTTCTAATTTCCATGTTCTGAAGGAAAGACAGGCAAAGAATTATGAGTAATACTTGTAAGGCAGGCAATGTAGCAAAGTAATGTGTACAGAAACCTGCATGCAGAAGTGGTCTGAAAATCACTGAAACTGACTGGTGAATTGATATTGGTTCAAAAACAGAAACATAGTAAGTAAGCAGCACAAATCAGAACTGTCAGCTTTACAGTTACTTCACTTCTAATAATCCAATTATTAATACTATCTTTGTAACTCTTCAGGAAACTTATTGGTCCCTGTGTAGGACTGACTGGTCATTGTAAGTCTGGTTTTTGGAAATAAACAGAAGTGTTTTTCTTTAAGGGAATATATATCATCTCATTTAGGACAGCAAATGTAATAGAAAATATTTTCTTATTCTAAGTACAGTTCCAGTTGATGGTTTAACTACCGCATGAAGTATATACACTGAGGATTTCAATAAGGCAGTCCTTTAAAGCATTTGTCATAGGGGTTACTAATTATAGATTTGTGCTGATGGTCCTTCCCAGTAACATTATTCCTTTCTAATCTCAGGGTCACCCATTCACTGAAGGGTGTCCAGCACCTGGGCCCAGGAGCCAGACTCTGAGTGCAGGAGAAATCAGTGCCACAAAGATCAAGTATCTGCTGACTTTAACTTGCTTTACTCTCAGAGCCATAGTCTTACTGGAATACTGGACTCCTCCAGGAATTTCAATTTGTCTATCCTATATCTTTCTGAGAATCAAGACTCACTCTTATGATAGGAATCATTATTGTAGTATCTGATGGTCACTGCCTGGGCATAATTTAAAACTTTTGGTCATAATTTCTGGTCATTATCACAACCACTCCCCCTCCCAAAAAACTAACACAAACAAACAAAACCAGAAAAAAAATCAGCAACTGAAAGGCAACACATTGCTCAAAGTGTAGGTGTAACAATGACTGATGCAACAGAAAAATTATATCTTAGGTACTCTTTCTCTCTTCCAAATCCTGCCAGGACTTTATTTTAGGCCATTACTCTGCCTGCAAACAGATACTTTCAATGTGATTTGAACACCAGAAGTTTTTCTAAAGAATATTAAAAAGAAATAAAGTTACAGGATTCAGCAACAACCCAGGAAAGGAAAAAAATCCTGTGGGTCTTTATTAATTTAAACAAGCAAGTGAACACTTCAAGTCCTCTGACTATACCCTTAAAACACCCATGGTTTTGACACTGCAATGTTATTTCTGGCAACAATGCTGATTACAGCTGATAGTGCCTACAGGGAAGCTTCAATAAGGATGCCAGAAAAAACTTAATCTACCACACCTAACTCCATTGCACATACAGGCCTCCAAACTTCTTTTCTATTGAGTGGAATAGCACTAAATCTTTCAAAAATCTCATTATTAGTTGCAGGAAGTCAAATAATCAAGCAGAACCATGTCTTCACTTGTTTAATTGCCCGACGTGTTTGCCTATATTGTAACCATGATAAAACCCAGGATGTCAGAACAGGAGGATCAATACAAATCCTCATGCAGCCACAAGAGCTCTCACACGTTACTGCCCACCCACTGCTCAGCACTGCAAATTCCAGGCACAGAACATCCTTTGGCACGCCAGTCGGTGAGTGCACAGCCCTGCACACACTGGACTGATCAAACAGGAATAGTTCTTTTCCTCATTAACAAAATCCTTAAAAAAGACTGTGACCTTTAGAGAAGTCTTGGAGGCAGTAATGACTTTAATGGATTAATAACTGAAGTTTCACATGATCAACTGGTGTGCCATGAACTCCCCCCAAACCATTGTGATATTCACTGTCTATTCATTTCACCCAGTTGATTTAAATGATTCTACTGTAAAAAGAAAAACCAACCCCCCCAGACATTTCTTGGCCATTAATAAATAGAATTTTTTATTATTTGAACAGATTATTAACTACATTTATAATCTAAAACAAAAAGTTTTACCACTTTATATTACTTTGGAAAAGAAAGTATTCAGAAACACTGCCAATGTTATAAACCATAAATCCACATAACAGCACTTTGATTCCAAAATAAAATATCTACTTTCTCTGTTATTAAATAGTAAAAATATTCCAACGCAACCATATTGTGTGATGGCTGTAACTCATACTTGGAATTTATTTGATGTAGACTTTCTGACTGTAGGGGTTCTCTGGTCAGCGGACTAAGACCAGGAATGGCTACAGGGACAGGGTAAAAGTTG